CAACTGGAGAGATACTTATACATATACAGTGACCAGCAGTAGGGCATAGTGGTAAGAACACAGAGTAGGAAGGCAGACAGCTTGGGTTTGACTCCCAGTGCCATTATTTACTAGCTGGATGACCATGAGCAAAACTTGATCTTGCCTCATCTCTCATTCATGAAATTGGGATGACAATATTATGCCTCTTAAAGTAGTCACGGGAACCAAAACATTTACGATATGTTGTGTTAAGAACAATACCTGGCACAAGTAAGTTCTATATCTATCATGTAAGCTAGTATTTAGAATGTTGACCTCAAACAATCGATATGCCGCTACCCCTTGGCTCACATATACCTTGTCAAACATGAAGACTTTATTGATTTGGCCTCGGAAGATCCTCAGGACAGAAGTGATGTGCACACAGGAATCCTGGATGGCCTGGCCTATGTCCTCTGGTTTGTCTTGGTCCTTAAACATCAGGTTCACAAACATGATTGTCACCGGGCGAAGCTCAGACAAATAACCCTGAAGCTGTTTGTCATCGATCTGCAAATTAGAAAGTTTCCTTGAGCTTGTGTGCTTGGCCGTTGCCCCTTCCACACAGGACACCCCCATCCACATCCCATCTTGGGGGAAATGAGACTTCTGAGCTTCTCTGGGGAAAATGAAGTTACCAGTGTGTGAGTTACAACCTGGCAAAGCCAGTTCAGAAAGGACAGATAGAAATGGAGAGAACAATGATCAAAATCTCTCTCCGTGGGGACTTGAACTTTTTGGGCCAACCACCACTGGGAATTTTTTTACCAACAACCACTCTCTTGCCCCAACTGCTAGCTCCCTCATGCCAGTATGAGCCATCGCAATTACAGACACCATCACTGCTCCTCCTGGCCCTCTGTTTTTATCATTTAGGAAAAGAATACCATGCCAAGTACTTCACCCTAATATTTTCATAGCCCAGCACCTTGTAGAGTATTTGCATGTTCTATGCTGCTTTGAGGGCACCTGCTTGTATAGTGGTAAAGCACTCTGCTGCTAAAAAAAAGTTGGAGGTTCGAACCCACCAGCCACTCCATGGGAGAAAGCTGTGGCAGTCTGCTTTTGTAAAGATTATAGCTTGGGAAACTCCACAGGATAGTTCCACTTTACCCAATAGGGTGGCCATGAGTTGGAATTCCCATTTTATTGATGAGGTGACTGAAGCATGGGAAAGTAACAAATATTTCCCAAGATCACAGAGTGAGACTAGCAAAACAGAATCCAGTTCTAGTCCAACAGTCTCGCTACCATTTCCCCCAGCCTCTCTGAGCTGTCGATTTCACCTAGCTCCCCTCTCTCCAAAGCTACACAGAACAGGCACAGGAAAAGGACAAGAGAGTGTATCCAAATTGTTTTAGCCCATCCATATCCCTGATTTTGTTAAGCCAAGTACATAGCACACCGATGGGAAAAATCATTGCATTTTCTGCCCCAAATAGCATACAAGTGTCCGATTCTCTGTTGGCACCCCGAAGCAGCCTTCTAGATGAAAGAGGGAACCACTGCCCACCGGGAATGCAGTAGTTGTGCTTCCTAACTGGCTGGCTAGGCCTGGTTTCAGATAAAGTTGTCCTTTTCATGAAAGGTGATTTAATAATTTCTCCTTAACCAATGCATGTTTCTTTTATTTTTCATATAAATGCATTAAAACAAATTTCCAATTGTTTTCATGTACTCTTGATTTGGGTTCGGAAACCACAGTATTTCTAGCATCTACTGCATGCGAGGTATGGTTGTCGTTAGATGCCATTGAGTCCGTTTATACTCACAGTGACCTATGTGCAATACAACAGAGCTCAGTCCTGTGCCATCCCCGCAATTGTTGCTGTGTTTGAGCCCACTGTTGCAGCCACTGTGCCAATCCATCTGAGGAGCTTTCTATTTTTCATAGACACTCTACTTTACTAAGCCTGATAGCCTTCTCCAGGGGCGGGTCTCTCCCGGTAATATGCTCAAGGTATGTGAGACTAAGTTTTGCCACGGTCGCTTCGAAGCTGTGCTTCTTCCAAGCAGGAGGGGTTCCCCTCTTCTGGCAGTGCATGGAACATTCACTAGTCCTTGCCCACACCATCGTCCAAATGCAGCACTTCGTTCTGGATGTCCTTTATTCACTGTCCAGCTTCCACGTGGATCTGAGGCGCCGGGAAATAGCGTGCCTTTGGTCAGATGCACCTTAGTCCTTAAAGTGATATGTTTGGTCTCTAATTTTAAAGACTTTAAAGACAGACACCTTTTGATAATTTGTTCAATGTAATACATCTTTGGATTTCTTGGCTTCTCTTCCATGAGCGTTGATTGTGGGCCCAAGTAAAATGAAATCAGCAACAATCAATATTTTCTCTATTATTATTTTTTGACTCCTTTGATGGCTTACTCTTTTTGTTTTTTTTTCATTGCTCAATTTTTCTTTATTCTTAAGTTAAAACATCTTAATATAATTGTGAATTTCTGAATTCTTTATAATATCTTTTTTTAAATTTAATCATTTTATTGGGGCTCATACAATTAATTCTCTCTATTTATTATGATGTTTCCCATTGGTCCAATTGGAGGACCTCTTTGCCTGTAAGTGGTTCATGCCCCCTTCACTTTCACAAGCAAGGCTGTGTGGGAAGGACATTGGGAGCACACTCACAAATATGCAGAGACTTGGCAGAGTATATTTGCACATGGGTATTTACCTATGCTGCAAAAGTACCCACGAATGTAGTGGAGTGTACAGAGAACAAAGTTATGAAAACTTCTTATGCATAACTAAGCACCTTTAGGGCATGAATCACTGCGCTCAGGACTATAGCTTCAAAGACACCAAGGTCAATTGGTATAAACTAGTCCATAGGCACAGTGTGTTCTACAGCAGATTTTGGTGAGTAATGACTGAGGTTTGAAAAGCTTGTGCGTGTCTATCTCATGTACAACTATCAGTCTCTCGCTGTCCAGGGAAAAGAAAACCAGGAACACCCCACTTACTGCTATCGTGTGGATTCCAATTCAAAGGGTGGCAAACACCGAAGACCCCTGAAAACAATCAGTCCACTGGACGAATAGAACATGCAAACATCAGGAGTGCCTGGCTGCTACTCCGACTGCTCTGAAGGGAATCCCACTAGCAGGCTCTCAACCGAGTGGGAGCAAAAGGTGGAACAAAATGTAAAATCATAAAAGGAACTGGGTAAGAAGGAGACTTGTGGAACACCCTGCGGCTGTTCAGGCAAACAATAGGTCGGTCGGTCACAGGAACAGGTAACACGAGCGAGGGATGCAGCCCTTTAAATGACCAACTGTTTGAGTTTAAAGGGCAGCATTGACCCAAGGACAAAGTTCAGAAGGGTGAGGGAAGAAAGAGGAATGGAAACAGGAAGCAGAAAGGCAGGGGATAAGTACATTACAACATGTGTATGAATTCTTGAATGAAAACGGATGACCCTCTCTGTAAACTGCCATCCGATTCACAATACAATCTTCTATTTTTTTCCTCACACAAGCCTTCAATATTCCAACTTGAGGCTTGCATATTTTCTACAGTTCTTTCAGCTTGAGAAATGCTAAGCACATTCTTTCCTTTTTACTTCCTTCCAGTTCTTTACATCATTCATTATAATACTTTATGTTTCTTACATTTTCTATTCAGCTTTTACTTTATCATCTCTCCTAGTAGCTTTAACTTCTCTACGTTCAAGAGCAAATTTCAGAGTCTTTTCTGATATCATCAGCTCCCTTTCTGGTCTTTTAAAATGATCTTTTGCTTTCTTCACCTATGATGTTTTGGATACTATCTCACAAGTCCTCTGGTCTTTGGCCATTACTATTTAATGTATCAAATCTATTCTGGAGATGCTCTCTGCATTCAGGTGGGACAAGTCAAAGTCATCATCTGACTCTCATGGACTTGTTCTCATTTTCTGCAGCTTCAACCTGAAGTTACATGAGTTCCGATGGTCTGTTCCACACTGGCCATGTCTTCGCTAATGCCATGGAGCTTCTCCATCATCTCTATCCAAAGTCAATTGGATTCTTAAATGCTCCATTGGGTGAGGTCCACATGTACAGCTTCAGTGTGTACAATATTTTGGAAAAGAGGTATTTGCAATGAATAAGCCACTAGTATTGCAAATTATATATAATCTCATTTAATTTCTATCACTAATACCGTATTTTCCAATTGCTGGTCCTTCCACTTTGTTTCCAATTTTTGCATTCTAATCACCAATAATTATTAATGCATCTTGATGGAATGTTTGATCGATTTTGGACCGTAGCATTTGATAGAATGCTTCAATTTCTTTATTATTAATTATAGTGGTCATTTAGTACATTTGAGCAATTGTTTTATTTGCTAGTTTTCCTTGTAGATAGATGTGTCTATTAACCTTATCACTGACAGTCTTTGTAATTCAGGATAGATCTTGAAATGTTCTTTTTGATGATGATTGCAGCACCATATATCTTCAATTTGTGGCATAGTAGGCATCTTTCTGCCTGATTCGAAATGGCCAATATCAGTCCATTTCAGCTCACTAATGCCTTGGGTATTGCTCTTTATGTGATCCAATTCATTTTTTACTACTTCCAGTTTTCCTAGATTCATATATTCATGTTCCAATAACTAATGAATGTTTGCAGCCTCTTCATCAGCAAATGATGGTCCCCAAAGCTTTGCTCAATTCACCTCATTAAAGTCAACTTTACTTTGGGAGGCAGCTCTTCCCCGGTTGTATTTTGAGTGGCTTCCAACCTGATTGGGACCATCTTCAGTCCCTCTGTCAACCACTACATCATCTTCAGTTCTGCTGCTATTTATAAGGTTTCCAATGGTTACTTTTTCAGAAGTGGACTACATCTTCATGCTTCCTGTCTGGAAGCTCTGCTGAAATCTATCCACCATGGATGAACCTACTGGGATTTGAAATACTGGTGGTGTAGCTTCCAGCATCACAGTACCCTGTTAGCCACCACAGTCCAACAAAGTGACAGCTAAGCAGAAGAGGTGAAGGGGCAACCCTTAAAAACTGTGATGGTTTGTCCTTTGCTTCCTTGCGACATCCCTATCTGTATATCTTCACCAGTTGTCAGTTATTCCTGCCTATAATTTTCCCAGTCCCTCACAAGGTTCCCGTCTTAGATTCTGTTCTTATAGACTTTGCTCCTGCTGCTGGCAGCTGATGAAGCAAAATGTATTATATCTCCTGGAGATGTGGGCGAGGCACATGGTGTGGGCTTGTGGATTAAAAACCTTCAGGAACCAAAACAATTGTAGGCATTATAAGAGGTCTGTTTTTAAATTAAGCTAAAGGTGTAGGGATGCATTCTCTTCAATCCACACTCTGAAAGCCACTACCCACTGGTCAGGCTTGTCCGATGAAGATTTCCTCTAGGAAACAATGGTAATTTGACCAGATTACAGATGAAAACTGGCATATATTAGGAGGGTGGGGAAACCCAAATACATTGTCATGGGCTCCATTCTAACTCACAGTGACCTTGTAGGACAGAGTAGAACTGTATCAGAGAGTTTCCAAGGCTAGAATCTTTATAGAAGCAGATTGCTATGTCCTCCTCTGTGGAGTTGCTGGTGGGTTCAAATAGACGAACTTCCAGTTAACACCTGAGTGCTTAACTGCAATACACTGCATTACCAGCATTGGATAACTGGTGCAAAAATGCTGAGTTTATCCAGACCAGAGTTCAAAGCGTACCTGCAGTTCAAGAGGATCCCTGACATAATTCTGGGTCTCAGTGTTCTCATACATAAGATGAGGATTAAAATATCTCCCCAGGATTTTAAAGAACGCACACACAAAATGGCAGAATGCTTGGCATATAATGAGTGCGATACGAGCAATAATTGACATGAATGAATGCATTTGAGAGAAACTGGAGCTTATGGAATAAAGAGGAAAAGCTTTGGCAGGGGCAGAGGTGAAGTCAGATTACCTGTGTTGTTAAAAACATTTCTAAAATTAAAAGATCATTTTACTGGAGGCTCTTACAGCTCTTATAACAATCCATATCAAGCATATTTGTACATTTGTACATACATCATTATTTTCTAGACATTTACTTTCTACTTGAGCGCTTGGAGTGTGCTGTTAAAATGTAAAGCTTGAGATGCACTGCAAATGACTGAGAAAAAGCGTACCAGTGCACATCCACTTGATACTTTATATGTTTATATATTGAGGACATTCCCATTTTCCCACATTGCGTGAAGCAATACAATCCTAGTTGATGCCTGTTTTCGAGGTATAGTTTGTGAATGAAACAAATAAAAACCCAATTGTGGTCATGGAGCCGATTCCAACTCCTGGCAACCCCATGTTCAGGGTAGACCAGAGAGCCATAAGGGTCTTCCAGCTGTGATGTTTGGGAAGCAGATCACGGGGGCCCTCTGGATGAATGCAAATATCCAATCTTTCGGTTAAGTAGGTTAGTACTAAAGAATTTGTTCCACCCAGGAATTCAAAGATTCCCCCAGAGGTTCCCTGGGAGCCGGAGGAGAGGCTGTCTGCTCCCATGAAGATCTGCCATGTCAGAAACCCTACCGAGCAGTTTGACTCCGACCTATGCCGTCACTAGGAGTCAGAATTGACTTGAGGGCAGTGGTTTGGGTTTGGGTTTACACATAGAGAATGTCAACGCTATGTCTTTTTATTTCAATGGAACATTTTACTGGCTGCTGGTTTTCTTGATTCGTCTCCTCTCCAAGCCCCCCAACACCCCAACAGTCAGCGAGTCCAGTTATGAAAGTACCTGCTTCAAGATGCTTTCCATTATGTACTTTTGTAGGGACAACTCCATGTCCGGGTCAGACTCCAGCATGCACGCCAGCCTCAGGAGGTCTGAGAGGGTAGAAGAAAGGGTCAGGCTCAGGGAGGGAGGTTTGGCCCTGCAACTACACAGAGAAGCTCCCCAAATCTCCGTTCCCTTGGGAATTGTTCCTCACAGTTCAGGCAGGGAACTGTGAGAAACCAGGTGGCCAAATAGGTCAAAGGGAATTCCATGAGGAGTACTTAGAAAGTTTCGGGCTTCCCAAAATTCAGTTGGATGTAGCTTAAAACGCTGTTCCAGTTACACCACACTTTGGGATGTGGACAGCTCTTCAGAGGAGATGGGAACGGGGAGATGAGGGAATGACAGTAGAGGAGGATGGAACTGCACGTAAAGACCGAGAGAGGTGAAAGAGCAGCAGGCCTGAGCCAGGAGACTGCTCTCTGACTCTAAGTTTTCTAGAAACTCACTGGGAGATACTGGACCGGTCACTTTACTGCACCGATAGTACTCCATCTTCACATCTGGGGGCAAAGTAATTGGGCTTCATTAGCTCTATGGTCCCCTTCACTACCATGGCTGATAATTCCATGCTCTAGGACAGACTGATGGGAGAAGTTAAAGAAAGAAAGAAACTAAGGAGGGAGACATAATGAGACATTTTCAGCAGGAAACAGAATAACTATCGTGTGAAAAATTGAAACTAATATCAAGAAAGAAATAAAACTTAGGCTGAAAGGGATGTAAGTCAAGGAGCAAATTCCATTTTGAAAGTGTTTACTGATCGATCACCTCGTGTATTTAAAATGTCGTGTTAAATACTGTGAGAGAGAGAAAAACTAACTTGGACACCTGGGTTTTTCCTTTAAGGAATTGACTGTGTCACTGGATGTTCAAATAGAACATGCATGTAAAAGTTTGAGGGAAAATGTAGGCCAAATGGCTTATGGCTTATAAGGGACAGGAACCAGGGAGACTAAGAAGGAGAAATGACCAAAAGAAACCGGTTTGACCAGAAATGGCTTTTTAGGAGAAGTAGGTAATTAAGTGGACTTTGAATGATTTATGGCATTTTGCTAAGAGAATTGAGGCGGGTGTGCTAAAAATGGAAGTAAGCTAAAAAATGAGCACAGTGTGTTAAAAGTCTAAGACTCCACCTGGGCTGGGAGTCGTGCCAGTATCATTGATGAAGCAAAGCCCTGGCAGAAACTGGGCTAAGAGGCAAGGAGGAAGAAGGCAAGTGTGTGGAAAGGCAAGTGTGTGGTAACCGTGGCCATGGAGATGGAGAGGTATAGCCCCAAAGGATGCCTCCAGAAATCCTATACACAAGCCGTCATTAAGATTTAGGAGCTGGGGTGGGGTAGCTGTAGCTCAAAAAGAAGGTAGTTTTGCTGGGCTTTCTCCTCTATCTCTGGATCTTCCGGAATTCGTCATCTTTCCTGGTCAATGTTTCTACAGACTTGCCCCTCTCCTGTTACTTATTACAGCTTTGTAAAAGTACAAATTACTATTTATAGTACTGTTCAAAATACTCATGTCTTACATATAAATGATGAGGAAAATGAAGGATTCGCAGGTGTTTCTGATGTTTCTGGATTGGAAGAAGAACTAGGTTTTAGGGAAACATCGTCAATTAGGACTTCAGACAGGCTAATTTTGGAATGGCTGTTTGACACCTGGTGGAGATATGTCTTGGAGAGTTATTTATTTATCAACTTCAAATTCAGGACAACAGTCGGGGTGAATTCTGACCTTTCTGGTCAGCACTCGAGTGACACAAATATCTCACAGAAGACCTTGAGAGAAAGTGCCTCCTTAAATTGTGTGCTTTCTCATTGATTCTTCCTAGTTCTGGCCCTGCTGGGGCTGTGTGGAAGGGACGCATAAATGGATGATTCACCAAGAAATCAATAAAGGAGAAAGAAGGTCAAGGAAGAGCCCTGGCATCGCCAACATTCTTAAATAGGAATAGGAAGGAGTCAGCAAAGGGCATTGAAAATGGATGGTTTTAAGGATAAGAGAAAAATTAGCAAAGAAGAATGTTCTTGAAGCCAAGACAAGAGGCGAAGGTAGTGTCTAAAATGGGAGAATCATCTAAAGGCAAAGCCTAGAAAGAGGTTATCTGTTTTGGGAAGATGATGGTGTTGATCTAATCGATCTAAGCCTTGATACAGTTTCAGGAAGTAGAACAGGAGGGCAAGCAGGTAGAAGCTACATTTCAGGACTGGACTGAAGAGCAGAGGAACACAGAGCCCCTGGGGTACATGCACTGCTTATTAGGTGAATAAATGCCTGAGGGGGAGAAGAGGGACATGGGTACTCATTGGAAATGTTTGAAGGTGACGGCTCGGAGGGGAAAGTAAGGTGGAAAGTTTGATTTATTTTTGATTATGGGGAAGACTTGTAAATGTTTGGAAGTTGAAGGAAGGCAGTCAGCGCAGAGGGAGGGGTGGAGGGTTGCAGGAGGGCTGTGTTTAGAATTGCTGTTCCAGGTTCCCTTTGGGTGCCAGGAAGGTTCGGGGAGATGTGTGGAGGAGCCTAGACGACTGTAAGGGAGCAGCTGACCCTGATAGAACACCCAAGGGATCACTGGAGAGCAGAGGCTCTTGGGTACTTACTTTTGTGATCTCCAGAAGGATAATTTTCCATGAAATTCATACACTTTGTGAAAAATTCATCAAAATTGAAACTAGAGGGTGGTTTCAAGAAGTTAACCTAAATAAAAAGAGAAGGTTTGAGGAATTCTGAGGGTTGGCTGGCCCTTTGCGTGTCATTTCTCAGCAGGACAGTCTATGTTTGAACGTACAGCTCATGGCAAACATTAAATGGCACCCTTAACCATTCTAGGTCATCCAACGGGACGGGTTCACACGAAAATATCTCTCCATTCATTCAGATTTCAATCTTCAGTATGCACACAGGGCCATTGCAGAGGGCAAATGGAAGTACTTTTCCACCCTCAGAATATTCTTCTTCGTTATTTTTTTAAATCATAAAACAATGCAGCTTTTATTGATGAGTTGTCTCCCCAAACCCAAAACGCCAAGACCCTGTTTTTCAGTGGCCCTTCATCCCTCCAGGAGCTAACACTGCTCCACCCGGGTAGGGGCTCTAAATTGTCTCAGGCTTTCCAAGGCCCAAGCCTTCCCCCACTCTGTGCAGCCTAACTTAGAAACTCAGTATCACTCGTGCTTTTCGGTTACAACTACTTAGTAACAACTCGGGCTGGAGGGTGCGGGGACAATGTATTATTTCAAGTGGCTCTTCCAGCCCTATGTCTCTGTACTCCCAACAAAGGGCCTTTGCCTGCTAGGTCTGGGTCAGAGAGTGGCAGGAGACATGATAGAACTCCCTTGAGAGTAATTGTGATCGGGATTCATTGGGCGGCCATCCTGCCGCGTATAGCATGAGCCACCTGAGAATATGGAGGGGAGAATTTCACTCCCAGAAAGAGCCGGGAGCACGCGTGGCCTCTGGATTCCGATACGCACCTGTGCAGTGAATTCCCTTGATGCCGGCAGACAGCTTTGGCATCAAAGTTGTGACAGAGGAGCAGCAGCAGCACCAGGGCACGAGGCAGAGTGGTGGGCTCCCATCCACAGGGCAAGGAAAGCAGAGTGCGGCTTGTGGGGGCGTGGGAGGTGCTGGGTTTGCTGACCCACAAGTTGGAGGAGCTGAATGCTTTAGGACTTAGTAGAGTGGCCTGCCCTTTGGGTATTGATTGGCAATCCTGAAAGAACTTTGTAACATGTCCTCACTGAACAACTCTATCTTGAGCATTTCTGCCTGTATTGCTTCCACCATAAACCCCATAGCCGTGCACACTGTCTGTGAGCCCTGTGTGGCCATGGCAGTGCATTCTAAAACCTAGAAGAAAAGTAGCAAGTGAGGATGAGGCAGAACACAGAGCGGCACAGGCGAAGCAGTTCGGTAAATAAGAAAAGTACACACAAGAACGAAAAAGTCTAGCCTGTCAAAGACCCCTCTGTCCTGCATTTCTTTTGATGTGGGCGCATGCCTTTCGGAATCTGATTCGGGATTTCCACTCACAGCCTTGGAGGGGCTCAGGAGATGAACTAGTCTAAACGTACCCACGTCCCAGGCCCACAAAGGCTTGAAGGGATCAATCAGGCACATTGTGCACCCACCCATGTGCATCTCTGCTGTGTTTTCATCCAGCTTAGAGACTGCACTTTCTGGAGTAGGAGTGGGATATGTGATAGGAATGTCACGGATATGTGATAGGAATGTCACTCATATGTGAGGAGCTGCTAAATGTTCCAGCACTGGCCAAACCACCAAGTCTCTTCCTAGCTGAGATCCAGGCGAAAGTAATTGGTGTCTGAATGCATGTTGTTCTCTCTGTGCTAGATAAGGGGGATGCTCCTCCTTCAGTGGCTATGCACACAGCTCCTGACCTCGGGCCTTGGGATTAGTCTTCAGGATGGAAATCTGCGAAACCACATGCTATGTTGCCACATCCACACATTGGACCAGGGCATGAGCGCTCAGAACAGTTTAATTCAAATAAACCTTGGTTCAACTGTACATCGTTTCTTTCTTAGGAATAAAAAAAGATAAAGGGGATGGGTGCTCCCCCAACAGAAACATCACTAGTAATAAGATACAGTAGCACAATAACCAGCACAGTGTCACACACGAAAAATAGCAAACATCATTTCTTGCCAAAAAATAAGGCTAGCTCTACTCTCCTAATCAGAAAACATCAGGCAAAATCAACTGTGGGTCATTTGCCAAATGAACTAATCAATACATATTTTTAAGTATTCGGAGTCATGAGAGACAAAGGAAGACGGAAGCTCTGGCGTAGAAGTAAGGAGACCAAGTAAAAGCAGCTGTGGACTGGAATGTGAGATCCTGGACCAGAAATTTTTAAAAAGACATTACGGGGAAAATGGTGAAATTCAAATAAAGTCTAATTGGTAAGTAGTGTTGTACCAATATTAACATGCTGGTTCTAACAACTGAGCTCTGGAGTTCTGTCAAGGCTTAATATTAGAGGAAGCTGGGCAGAGGATATAAGAAAATGCTACTAGTTTTATAAAATTACTTCGAAATAAAAAATGGAAGGTTATATAAGGGATGGTTGAAGTAGAGAAGGATGAAGGATTGATGTCAGCAGGTTAGGCCATGCAGCTAATGCTGTTGCTGAAGTTTGCTGGGGGTGCTGGGAGAAATGGAGGACAGATGAGGGTGTGTGAATGCCTCCCGGCAGTCACGTGGACTCTGCCCTTTCTTTCTGTCTGCCATGCACTTCCTTCCCCACAATAGTTCTCTTCCCCATCTGTGGTAGTTACATAATCTGGTGTCAATTTGGGACTTGAGAGGATTAACAGTGAAGGGGTGGAGTCTAGTCTGTCAATCTGGTCATAGCCAATGAGGTCTTTGTGTGGGCATGGCCTTCTCCTGAGAATTCTGGGAATTCCTGATTTTTCTCCTTGGAGGTGGGAGACATCTCTCTTTCTCTGCTCAGTCCCTGTGAGACATCCTAGCTGACGAGAAACTCTCCCTCGGCTCACTCCCTGAGATGCTCTACTGACAATACTACGCTGATAGACCCAGTGCCCTGGGAACTGGAGAAGCCAGTGGAGACCCCTGCCAGTGCTGACATGCTTACAATGCCACTGGATCCCAAAACTTTCTACCCACTGGCCTGTGATCTTCCTGCACTTGGCATCATGGCATGTGTTTCGTGAGTCGGAAGAGGACTTTATATATATTGGTATTGGACATATGGGCTAATATTGGACTTATGGGCTTGAAGTGAACTGGGTTTGAATGCTTTCTTAATGTACAATTACCCTTTATATAAAAGTCTCTTATACATGAGTTTCTATGGATTTGTTTCTCCAGCCTACTACCAGTCCATGCCTTCAAAGCACAGTCCCTCTAGTTGGCCAGATCTCAAGGCCAGTTCTGCTCAATTTTCATCTGAGCCAGGCTTTTTCTACTACGCAGGGCCTTGGAAAAGACCTCTCTCTCTCCCTTTCCTGCTCCTGAACTTGGCTATGCTTTCTCCTTCCCAATGTTTCACCCTCAGTGACCCCCGCACTCCTAGGTATTGCTTGAGGGCCTTGGTTAGTGGAAGTGAGGGTCAATGGCAGTCTACAAGAGTCCTCCCTTCGGGTCCTAATGGATAGCCCTGAAACCCTGTTTCCTGAGCAAGGCCACTGGTTTTCCCAAGAGTTCCCTACTCCAGTCCTCCATCTTTAATTCCCCACAGAGAGAAGCCTACTTATTTCCTCTTTGACTTTCCCAGACTTTACTCATTCCAGAGCATATATCTGGATAAGACTTCCTAAGCCTAAAGCCAGAAGGAACCTATGCCGAGCAGCTTCAGGGAGCCAGTCTTCCTAGTGACTCTTTTGGCAGGAAGCCCCTGGTGTAGATTGCCAGAACTTTCTGCAAGCGTCAGCACTCCACCTACCTTAACTGCCCTCTGGTCTGGAATTCTCTCAATTTCAATCAAGTTCCGGTCACAGAGCTGCCAGCAGTTTGGTGACAGAATGACTTCATTCATGTGGGCCATGTTCTGTGCAAAGCGTACATCATTCACGGCCTGACCAATCACCAGAAAGTAGTTGCGTGTTTCATCCCCAAAGACCAAAATGCTGATGTGGCCAGCAGACAATCCTGGCAAGAAGGCAAGCAGGTTTGTACAAGAAGTTCTGGGTTATGCTTCAGCAGCACTGGTTCTTAGAAAACTGAGAATCTTTTTTTTTTGAAAATTGAGAACTTTGATGTGACTATATTGCTTCAGAGCAAACTCTAAGCTTCTAAAATTTACACAGGGATCAAAGCATGCCTCATCCAGCTCCACACCTTCAAAACCTCTCCTTCCACCAAGCTGGGGAGTTCAGCACTAGCTTTCATCTCTTTAGGACATTAATCTCTCAACACAGCTCTATCAAGCCCCAAATTTGTTTGACCTTTTCTTCATTTATATTTAAGGACAATAATAAGAACTTGAATCATCCCTAGTTGGGGAAGAATAGGATTTTTATCAGTGATTAAGGATTTAACTAGGAAGAACCGCTCGGGTGGAATTTCAGGTCATGATTAGCGGGGTGGGAAGAGGGAGTAGGCGTTCAGATAACCAGGTGTCCCATCCCAAAGGTGTTCACTTTATGACTCTAGAGGTGGGAGCTGAAGATTTGGGTACCTGACCAGCAGAAGACAGCATATTGTAAAATATGGCATGCACATAAAATATGCATAAATGAGTCACAAGCGATACACAGTTCCTTTAGATGACTGCAATTATCATCATCAAAATTTCCTTTTTAAATCATTCTACTCTGCTGTGCCTAAGAGTTGTTCATGGTGATTTCCTGTGATACAACATGTGATTTCTTATTTTCTAGCTGAAACACATTGATGCTTGGACTCATTAAAGAGAAGGTGCTGGAATCCATGCCAATCAATATGTATGAATATTTAAGGGGTTTGGGCCTCCATCACTCTCAAGAAGGATAGTACATCAGACTCCTGGAGTATTAATTTGGGAAGTAGGTTTAGTATCCTAATAACCTTAATGTTTTGACAACACATTTAACTTCTTTTGGAAATTTTGAATAATTTCAATAGGTGGTGTATGTTCAAAAGGTTCCAGAGCCTTGTACCAGCTCCTACACTTCAGGATTCTGAGTTTACAAGTTCCGTTAGGCAGAAGCTATCAAACAGCAACTGAATCATCTGGAAACTCTGGGTGACACGGAACATTCAGACCTCTCAGGATATCGTCCCCCCATTATTAAATGGTTATCATTTAATATGTTATCATAATGTCTATCCCTGAGGAGCGTGGAGAAGTAAGCATGATAGAGTGTGTGGTCTGTCTGAAGAGCAATAAGGAGATGTATGTTGTGACTCTTGTATCTGTGAACAGAAGAAGTTATGAACCTGAAGCTGTGCTGCGGCCTCACCTACTAAGCCTTTTTTTGTACACCATCCTTATGATGTGGAGGATGATCAGTTTCACAATCCCGCTGAATCTATGTAATGACAAGTTACTTTCTACTGTATTGAATGATCTACAGAGTTGACAAGCAGGACAATCATCATCGTCATCATCCTCACACTAAGAATATAACCGGAACGAGGGGCTCCCGCATACCGATGATCATGAGGTGGCACATGAGGGTGGCACAGGACTGGGCAGCTCTTCTGTTATCTCAAGGTCACCAGGAGTTAGAACCAACTAGGTGGCAACTCACAACATAGTTACAATCGCGTCTGGGGGGTGATTACCACATGTCAGGCAGGACATCAACTATTATAACTTAATTCTTTGTGTTGATCTGTTGTTGTTAACTGCCAAGTAGATCCCTCTAGTGATGACCACATACAGGCAGAATCGACTGGTCCACACAGTTTTCAAGATGAAGGCCTTTCAGAAGCAGATTCTCAGGGCTGCCCTCCAAGGCATCTCTGGGGGAGTTCAAATTGCCCGCCCTTTGACTCTTAGTTGAGTGTGGACCTGTTTGTGCCACCCCAGTATTCATGGAAATAGGGAGTAAAGTTAACTGCTAAGTGAAAGAGGATCAAAATTCACATTCTGTTCAGCCTGATTCCAAATGTTAGGCACAATAGTGGAGCCAGTGATCCACCTTTTTTAACTTAGAAGAGAGATCCCCCTCAGGAGGCAGGACTCCAAGCTGTGAAACATCTGTTCCTTTATATATGCTTACCTATCTTGACCCGGATATCTAGGCCTTCTTCGGATAACTGGGTGTCAAACAATCCATGGATCTCCAGGCTACATTTAATTACCACCGTGATAATATTCTTCAGCTGCTTTCGTTCCACCTTCCACAGGGCTAGCAGAGCATCACCTTTAAGAGATGAACACATGGGGCTCTTCTGACTTGCCCTGGGGATCCGTTTGGAGGAACTCTGTCTAGAAGCTTACTTGCAAACACTCTTCAGCCCCCTTCCTGGCCCCGACTTTCTCTGGTGCCTCCTTTGATGGAGCTCAGGCATGGTAACCCTCATTTCTCACACCTCCCCCCTCTCAGTAAGCCCTCGTACCTGCAAATTTTAGGATGTCTCCTCCAAACATTAACACTTCTGAAGGGGAAAAAGGAAATAACTTAAATCAATATCTTAAAGCTAATAAAAAATGCATTCTTTACCAGTGGAATAAAATTTGGGGCAAAAGAACAGCAAACCAGAGAATAGATGTATAGCAAGGATGTCATATCAGACAAGCAACTTAACCCGTCTACTCAACTGTGTTGAAACAGATTGTGGGTATACTTCATTTCTGTGAATGGGGAAAAAACAGGAAAAAGGAAGGTAGTGCTTTTGATGAGGCCCAGAGATGGCTATCCCCTCCCATAATAATGGGATTTTGAAAAACAGTTATATTGGCCTTTAATTCAATAGTTCAGTCATATGAAGAAGAGCTGTGGAATCACTGCCCCAATCAATTTTAGGACATTTTCTTCTTTCTTGTACTCATTGTCATTAGCTGTCCATTTCCCTGAAGCCTTCCCTGCCTTGCCCTCAAGAAACCATTAATCCACTTACTGACTCTCTGGATTTACCTAGCCTGGATTTCATACACAGAAAAACATGCAAACAATCAAACACACTAACAACAATAATGAAGTGAAATAGAGAATGACTTCAATGGAAAAGAAAACAGAGATTAAAAACTAGAATAAATGTTTAAATGGGTCACAAGGGACATCAGATGATGTATGATGTTCTTGATGCCAAACTCACCTGGTCTCCAGTCACTTGTGAGCTCAATCCCCCACACACCTGTTCTTGAGATGGTCTCTCAATTTAAGTGGGATATACTCGCGGTTGTGTTTTGACTTTTGTTGACTTGTTTTCATTTTCTTCAGCTCCAATCTGAACTTGCATATGAGCAATTGATGGTCTGTTTCATAGTTGTCCCTTGGCTTTATTTTAGCAGATGATACCGAGCTGCTCCATCACCTCTTCCCACAGATGTAGTTTATTTTATTTCTTTGTGTTCCATTTGGCAAGGTCTATACAGATAGTTGCTATTTATGTTGTGGAAGAAAAGAGTATTTCCAATGAAGAAGTAATTTATTTTGCAAAGTTCTATCCTGCGATCTCCAGCACCATTTGTATCAGCACTATCTGCATTCCATTTACTATATTCACACTGACTACCATTGAGTCAATTCTAGTCCACAGCTACCCGAAAGCACAGGGTAAAATTGTTCCTGTGTGTTTCTGAGACACTAACTCTTTATGGGAGTAGAGAGCCTTGTCTTTCTCCCAATGAGAGGTTAGTGGTTTTGAACTGCTGACCTTGCAGTTAGCACCCAAGTGTGTAACCACTACACCACCAGGACTACTCTTCCAATCACCAGTAATTATAAATGCATCCTGATTGCCTGTTTGATTGATTTCAGACTGCATACATTGGTAGAATTATCCAACTTCTTAATAATTGTTTTTAGTTGGTGTATAAATTTTAATAATAGTTTTAACAAATGGTGTTCCCTGTAGGCATATAGGCATATTATTCTATCCCATTCAATGTTGTTCTTCAAGATAGATGTTGAAATCTTCTCTTTTTGAGGTCAAATGCAATGTCATTGCTCTTGAATTTGTTGTTCTCTGCAGAGTAAATCATGTGATCATTGAATTCAAAATGGCCAGTACTAGTGGATTTTAGTTCACAAATGTCTTGATATCAATCTTTATGTATTCAATTTCATTTTGATGACTGCCAATATTCCCACATTCATACATTGTACACTTCACATTAACGGGTATCTCCAGCTACTCCCGCTCATTCTGAGTCACGCCCCATTAGCAAAGGAAGGTCCCAACCATGTCATTAAGGTCCACTCTACTTGGAGAAAGTAGCTCTCCCCCAGGCACACTGTGAGTCCCTTCAAATCTGAGAGGCTCATCCTTGGGCTCTAAATCAGAAAATGTCTTGCTGCTATATGCACATGGTTTTCAGAAGTGGACCACCTGCTCTTTCTCCTTCTATTCTTTGTCTGAAAGTTCCACTGAAACCTGTTCACGTTGGGTGACCCTGCTGGTGCTTGAAATATTGTAGGATAGCTTCCAGCCTCACAGCATCATGCAAATCACCACCATATGACAAACTGACAAATGAGGCAGGATCTGTTCAAGGAAACTTAAAATACAAAAAAAAAAACAATAGGCATTTTCTCTTGAGTCACTTCCAACTCCTGTAATACCATGTGTGTCAGGGTAGTCCTGTACACCATAGAAGTTTCAATGGCTGATTTCTTTGGGGAATAGATCACCAGGCCTCTCATCCAAGGTGCTTTTGGGTGAACTAGACTCTCTAATCTTTTGGTTAACAGTTGAATGTGCTGTTTGCACCATCCAAGATTTACTAGGGAACTTGAGGCTGATGAAAGATTAGACCAAGAGTTTACCTTAATAGAGTATATCATTTTATTAATGAATACAAGTTCAAATTAATAATGCAAATAAGATAGCGGGAAAAGATTGAAAAGGAGATCCAACTTTTCAGTTAGTTATAAATGCTTCAGTAGGTGCTCTGGTGGCATAGTGGTTATGAATTGGGCTGCTAACTGCAAGGTCAGCAGTTCAAAACCACCAGCCGCCTTCAGGAGACAGACTTGTGCCTTTACTCACATAAACAGTTATGGAAACCCCCCAGGGCAGTTCTGCTCTGTCTTAGCAGCAGAGTTGGATTTGGCTCAATGGCAGTGAGTTTGGGTTTTTTGTTTTTGTTTTTGGTATAAGTACTTCTGAAGCTGCCATTTGGGACAAATTGCTGATAGCTTAATTACAAACAACTCCTATCTATTTATACAGAAATATTCATGATGACATTTGAGTAATATCGATTCTAACATTTTGAGTTACTAACTGTAACTAAAAGAGCTATTACTACAGTTGTTTTCAAAGTAGTCTGTAATTTAGATTTTCATTAATGCAAAATATCTTTTCCCTCAAGTAGACTGCATTAGTGAGGTTTGACTGTATTGTTTGATATCTATTATATCATATTTTAAAAGAGATTGATCTCACGAGGAAGCAATTGTGCTCCATCGGGTTATAATCAGCGAACACAAGAAAAGCTGACGTGAAGAGTCTGAAGGCAGGGACCTAAGCACGCACTTACTTTCCACTATCGCACTTATGTAGTGGTTCAGGATCTCCACCAACTGCTCGGCCCCTCGGTCCATATACATCGCTCTGCTGAACTTCTCAGTCATCGCAGTAAAACCTGCAATGAGTGCACAGCTCGGTTCCGTGGCTGCTTGGGGGAGCCCAACAGAGGCAGGAGAAGAGGAAGGTACTGGCTAGCGAGCAGGGGCCTAACCTCCTAAGAACTGGCAGATTTTCTTCACAATGACTTTAGTTCCTTATCAAGTGCCAGAATGCAGCTTCCTCGACCTATGTTTCCTGGATAAGGGTTTGGTAAAGGTCCTGTTTTACCCCTGGGGCCTGAAGTTCCAGGCATAGGCCTTGATCATCTTAAGGTTTGCCCTTGACTGGAGATACTGAAGTAAGGAAAAGGTCATAGGATATCCCCTCGTTCCCTTTCTTTTTTTTCCCCAGCAGAGAGTATTTGCCATAACAGCCCAGAAACTCAAAAACGCCACCCCCATTCAGCACGGAAGATCTGTATCTGAACACTGATGTGAGTCTGCCGCTCACCTACATGAGCAACAACGACCAGTGGCCTTAGCGTGGATCAGGGCAGAGCTGTGCCCCGTGGGGTTCTCGGGAGTCTGAGCCATGGCAGCAGCAGATAGCTGGGCCCTTCCTCTGTGGTGCATCTGGATGGATGCCAACTGCCAGCCTTTCAGCTGGTAGCTGAGCACCTAACCATTGGGCCACCCACAGCGCCCACATGAAGTATCCCTTCTGTGCTTGCCTGAAATGTCAACAAACATCAAGACTCCATCGAAGTATTTCACAGTGGGTCGCTCTGGAGAGAAATCGCCGTAGACAATGAGGTCTGGTAAGTGAGCTGCGATTTTGATGATGGCCCGGTCCTGGGAGTCTTCTGTTTGGCGACTCATGTCCACAGCAAATGTTCGCGAAGTCGTCCCCAAAGAGACCTTCGGGAAGAAGAACTCAGAGTGAAGTGCGTTCACTTGGTGCGTTCTTTCTCTCATTGCCCCATTTCTATCTCTCCCTTTGCTTTGCTCGAAAACTGCTGGAGTTGTTCACACTTCAAAAGGAAAAACCCTCGTGGGCTGAGCCTCCAGCCTGGCATGGCTGTTAACATAAAGGAGCACCTTTACAGAGAGGACGGGGTGCGAGGGGATCTGGAAACAGCCCCACCCATTTTCCTGAAGGTGGAAGGCCTTAAGGTGCGAGTCCTGCTGGCCGTGGGTCTAGTTAGCCCTGCCCACTAACTGGGCTCCTTTCCCTCCTGCCCTGGTTGCACTTTCTAATCTTCCTAATTTTTGGTCTCTCATTGTTCCTCCCTAAAATTTTTGAAAATGTAAGTTTGGCCTTTATGTGTGAGAATATACATATATGTGTGTATATATGTATATGATGATAAGTAAAAATTACAATACTGTTCCTTGCACAGTTGGTCTAGTGCACTGAAGCATGAGTTTATTCCAAATAAAATGTGTTCAAACACGTCTCTGAGATCAGTGGATGACTGCACACATGTTCTTTCAGTAATATATCTGTCTTAGTCCCCTTCTCAAAAAACAACAATAGCAACAAGAACAACAACAAAAACCTCACTGCCAGTGAATCGATTCCAACTCATTATGACCTTACATAGGACATAAGAGTACCGCCCCTGTGGGTTTCCAAAACTGTAACTCTTTACAGGAGTATAAATTCTCATCTTTCTCCTGCAGAGTGGCTGGTGGTTTCAAACTGCTGACCATGCAGTTAGTAGCCCAGTGTATAACCCATTACATCACTTATGTGTCTTTAAAAATAAGGTCCAATCAAAACTGACTTCTGAGGGGATCTGCTGGGCCAGTGAAATTTTAGGCGGAGAAGGCATCTCAGAATGGAGCCCGGCTAGCAAAAGATATAGCGTCTGGGGTCTTAAAGACTTGAAGGTAAACAAGCAGCTATCTAGCTCAGAAGCAACAAAGCCCACATGGAAGAAGCACACCAGCCTGTGATCACGAGGTGCCAAAGGGATGAGGTATCAGGCATCAAAGAACAAAAAAACATATCATTGTGTGCTCACCTCCCCCATACGATCACTGAAGACCAATGGGTGCATAAGCAAATGTGGTGAAGAAAGTTGATGGTGCCCAGCTATCAAATGATATAGCATCTGAGGTCTTAAAGGCTTGAAGGTAAACAAGTGGCCATCTAGCTTGGAAGCCACAAAGCCCACATGGAAGAAGCACACCAGCCTGTATGATCACAAGGTGTGGAAGGGGTGAGGTATCAGGCCTCAAAGAACAAAAAATCATATCATTGTGAATGAGGGGGAGTGCGGACTGGGGACCCAAAGCCCATCTGTAGGCAACTGGACATCCCCTTATGGAAAGGTCTCTGGGAGAAGATGAGCCAGTCAGGGTGCAGTGTAGCAACGATGAAACACAACAACTTTTCTCTAGCTCCTAAATGCTTCCTACCCACCCACTATCATGATCCCAATTCTACCTTACAAACCTGGCTAGACCAGAGGATGTACACTGGAAATGGAATGTGGAAATGGATGTACAGATAGGAAATGGAAACACAGGGAATCCAGGACGGATGATCCCTTCAGGACCAGTGGTGAGAGTGGCAATACGGGGAGGGTGGTGGGAGGGTGGGGTGAAAAGGGGGAACCGATTATAAGGATCTATATATAATGTCTTCCCTGGGGGACAGACAAAAGAAAAGTGGGTGAAGGGAGACATCAGTGTAAGATATGACAAAATTATTATTTTCCAATTTTTCAGGGTTTCTTGGGGGGGGGGGTGCTGGGGGGGGGGGGGGAAAATGAGGAGCTGATGCCAGGGGCTTGCATGGAGAGCAAATGTTTTGAGAATGATTAGGGTAACAAATGGACAAATGTGCTTTATACAATTGATGTATGTATGGATTGTGATAAAGGTTGTATAAGCCACCAATAAGATGATTGAAAAAGAAAGAAAAAAATGCTTCACATATCTAAGCGCTATTATAATTTAAAAAAGAAAAGAAACCAGAGACCACAAAAATGTATTTATGATGATTCCCAAGGAATAAACTTAATAGATTTCCCCCCCCAAAGAATATAGGACCATCATGAGGGCTTATTATGAAATTTTTTAATTGAAAACTGTATTAATGAGAAACAAAGCCAGGAAATTTATGCAGAGAAACCTTTTAAGACAATGCACCTGCTCATTCTTTGTTGGTAACAGGGCTTTCCTAGGAGCATTTCACTGGAAAACCTTAACCCACCCATTCCACAGCCCTGACCTTGCCTCTTCAAACTTCTTTCTGTTCCCTAAACTCAAAGAACATTTAAAGGTACATACTTGGAGGATGCCAAGACTGAAGCTTTTTTTTTAATTAATCATTTTATTGGGAGTTCTTATAGACATTATAACATCCCATAGTTCACACTAAGCAGTATCGTACAATTGCTACCACAATCAGTTTCAAAACATTTTCTTCCTTTTTGAACTCCTTCATGTCGGCTCCTCTTTATCCCCTGCCTTCCTCACTCTACCCCCCTCCCAGGAACCATTTTCTTTTTTCTTATGATAGTTTTTTGTGTGCCATATTTTACATGAGCCATTATATCCGTTCACATACAATTCTGTCGTTCAATCCCATCAAGTGGGGTTATACAATCATCAGTGCTATCAGCTTCCTCTCGTCCCATACCCCCAGCGAACCATTACTCCTAATACTGTTTTCGAAGGGTTATCTATATTGGTTTTCATGTACCGAATGATCTGAAATATACAACTGAACATACGCAAATCTAACATGATTAATGAGGTAAAACAAGCAAGCCAAGACCATAATGGTAAGGGTAGGAAATATAAAGAACTAGAGGATAGTTATGTGGTTCATCAGTGCTGTACCGCACTCTGGATTTTTCATTTTTCTGTGTGGCTCTTCAGTTCAATTAACTTAAAGGTGGGTTTTGGGTCTCCACTACATCAATGCCCCTTCACATCAATTTGGTTGCTTGTCTTTGAATTTCTGATACCTCTTCCCATCAACACCTCATGATTACACAGGCTGGTGTGCTTCTTTCACGTGGGCTTTGTTGCTTCCATGCTAGATGGCCACTTGTTTAACTACAAGCCCTTTAAAACCCCAGATGCTGTATCTTTTGATAGCTGGGCACCATCAGCTTTCTTCACCACACTGGCTTATGCAGCCATTTTAAGGCTGCCACTTTGATGTGGTGTAGATTGAGAAGCAGGAATGCATTATTCTTCAGTGATGGGTTAGAGGTGGAAACACCACTTCAGAAGTAGGTAGATCTAGAGGGAGGGCATGTGGAGAAATGATAGCCTCACATCTAGCTATTTAATAAAGACTTCTATGTTTTTGGAGCAATACTTTTTGACTTATCCTCATATATACACAATAGATAATGTAACAGCGAGGTTAAGGGGTTAAAAGATGAGTCTGTGTGGCGTGGAGGGTCGAGGGAGAGGGAAGGCAGAAGAGGAAGTACGGAGAGAGTGAGGAAGGAAGGGAGAGAGAGAGATGGGGACTGAGAGAGATCTTGCATTTGTGAGCTGGAAAAGTAGAAAGGTCCTAGAAGCTGTAAGTAGGAATTGCTGAAATTTTAAGTTCTTGTCCAGTCAGTTTTGAAACCATTTGGAGTTTTTTAGACCTTCCTTTAACTGCTGCGGCAGATTAAATACTCAAGACTAATGTAGAAAGCATGCATAAATGGAGTGTCCTCAACTGAGCTTTTTCAGAAAAGCCAAGTTCCTGGAATAGGTGATACAAATATATATATGGAATTTTAAAAAAGGAACCATTACTTTTTTGTGTTTAATTCAGGCCAGTAAAGAGGAACTAGTTAGTAATTTATACCAGACATAGGTCATATTGGAATACATTCCTAAGAGAATGGGAGGAATAAGTGGGACACAGTCACATATATCTTATACTTAAGGAAAGTATTTTAAAAGAAGCCAGGGGCAAATGGTGTATTTAACAAATTTAAAAGTGTAGGCACCTACTTCTAAACTTCAGTTATAAATGTTAGGTATTAGGTAACTTTTAAAAGGAAAAGCCCTGGTAAACTTAAATGTTAAAAAGCAAACAAAACAGTAGCAGTATTTGACTATGTTTTGTTTCGCTGTTTTTCAAAGAGTAGCATTACAAACTACATAAAAAAACCACAACAGGTACTAGATCCAGCACATTATTTCAGGTAGTGAGTTTAATAAGTACGATATGAGCTTTTAAAAAGAGTAAAAGGAAATAGGATACCCAGAATGAGCTGAGATTTAGGAAATCGATAAAGTTAAGAAGACCTAGAAGATACTCACCCTCCCAACACAATCGCTGAAGCTAAAATGTGTCCACAAGCAATGTGGGGTAGAAAGCTGGTGCCCGGCTACTAAAAGATAGTGCATCTGGGGTCCTACAGGTGTGTAGTTAAACAAGCAGCCATCTAGCAGGGAATCAAGAAAGCCCACATGGAAGAAGCACATCCTCCTGTGTGTGTCAGGTCAACAATAAGCAACCGAATCGATGTGAAGGAGTGTGGATATAGTGGAGACGCAAAACCCACCTGTAAGATAAATGGACAGTCCCTCACAGAAGGGCCAAAAGGAAGGGATTGTATATCCAGTGTGTGGTATAGCACTGATGAAACATATAACTATCCTCTAGTTCTTTAATATTCCCTACCCCTACTATTATGGTTTCAGTTCTACCTCATTAACCTTGTTAGATTTGCAAGTGGTCATTTGAAAAATTAAGATCATTTGATACATGAAAGCCAACATAGGTAACGACCCAGAAAAAGTAACAGGAGTAATGGTTTCCTGAGGGTACAGGAAGAGAAGAGGAAGAGGGAGTCGATCGCAATGATGACTGTATAGCCCCACTCAAAAGTAGTAAATAACAGAATTGT